GTGGGCGGAGCTAGTGGGCGCACTGCAGGGCACAGGTGGGCGGAACTTGCGGGTGGCACTGCTGGGCACCAATCATCAGGGCACTGATCATCAGTGCCCTGATGATCGGTGCCGATCCCCGCTCTGACAACTGCCGGTTCTTGGCAGTACTTTCCTCACGATCTGACAGCGTGAGGAAAGTGCAGCCGAGAACCGGCACTTGCATTTCCCTCTGATCAGCGTGTCATTGGACACCGCTGATCAGGTGGTAAAAGGCCGCTGTGATTGGCCTTTTACCACATCACGTGATCAGCTGTGTCCGTAGGACACAGCGATCACGGAGATCGCCGGGTGCGCGCCCCCTGGGGCGCGCAGGAGAGCACGTTCTGGGGGGACGTCATATGACGTCCACTCAGAACTGGCCGGCCGCAGTGCAACCGTCATTCGGCTATCTCTGCGGTCGGCAACAACTTAAGGGCCAGTTCACTAAGGGCCAGTTCACACTACATGCATTTTAGTTGCTTTTCTCTGCATCCAAAATGCACAGAAAGTAGGTTATATGGTTGTCAATGTCATAGTTCACATCAGTGCTTGCAGTTCCTGTGTGTTCCGGATGCAGAAAAAAAAGTAGAACAGGCTGCATTTTTCCTGCACAGAACTGTACTGGAACGCGGTCAAACGCATCAAAAACTCACTGGAACGCACCAAAAACACACTGGAACGCGTCCAAAATGCATTAAAAATGCACCGGATGCACCAAAAATACGCATGCAGAAACGCATCTGGAAGGCATCTGGACTGCGTTTCTATCACCCTTCCCTCTCTAAATCTTACTCTCCCCCCCCGTCTTTTTAACCCTCTGTCTCCATCTCTCCCCCTCCATGTCTGTGTTCCCACCCCCCCTTATTTCACCCCTTCTATCTCGCTCTCCTTTTATATCTCTTGCTGCACTATATATATTGGATTGTATGTTACTTAGGGCTCGTTCACACTTGACTAATTTCTAACATTTGCCAAACACCCCTATAGCGTTTGACAGGCGTTTGAGAAGCATTTTTAACGCTCCTCAAACGCTTCCCAAAGGCTTCCCAAATGCCCTATGAGCGTTTGTGAGGCGTTTGATAGGCATTTGCCAAGCGTTAAAACTTTACCACAAATGCCTACAATGAAGTTTAATGGTATTAACACCCCGCAAACGCCTGCCAGGTGTTTGAGGAGCATCACCATAAACTTGAATGGGAGGCTTTAACTCCTCCTGACTCCACATGAGGCGTCAATTTTGCCACGACGCTAATGCTTCAGTGTGAACAGCACTGTGTGCTGCCATGTGTAGAATTTTTATAGGTGGTTGAGGAGCTGGTTTTAATATAGTTTAATTATAATTTTTTAAAATGACCCTTTGTCCCAAGGTTTATATGTGTCTCTGAGACTGTCATTTTATGGTACAGTAATAAGCAGTATTTTGTGAATGCAAGGGTTGTGGTTCTGTATCTTTTTCTTTTTTTTTCTATCCTCCCCCTTAAGACTTTTCCACTGTTAAAGGATAAGTTCACCTTTTTGAACATTACATGTTCCACACGATTTTAGGGTGAAACATGTAGCATGTTCCCAATGCTGCAGCCACCGCCCCCCCCCCCCCCCTCCCTTTGACAGAAGTACGGGGAGAAGTTCCCCCCATAATATGTCAGATTTGAAAACAGCACGGTCATGCGGGGCTCACGCGGTTGTGTCATTCATTGACAGAGTTCCGTGTATGAATGCACTACAAGTCCCCACATGCTTAGCAGATGTCAACTTGTAGTTTTCAATGAACTACCACATCGCTGTGGAGTGCTCTGGTAGTTCATTGAATCTTCCTGTCAGTATATCCCGTACGGACAAGCAGATATACTGACAGATCTGCAGGAGACCTATATGGCACCAGTAATTTACACCAGCAAAAAAATGTGCAATTATTATTTTTGTGCAAAAGGTGAACTTACCCTTTAAGTGCAGTCTGTCTATGCCCACTGTTGGTCACAGTGTGCTACTTACACCAAAAATCTTGTTTTTGTGTTCTAACCCAGGGGGCCCCAGGTCTTTTATAATCAGTCACATTTTGTCACAGTCAACTGACTTTATAACTGTTAAACCAGGCAGATTACAGTAATGGGTATTGTTAACATGTACATATTGTTTATACAGTTTAAATATGGTAATGGGGTGTGGCTTTGTGGGTGTGGTTATATGTAGGCATGGTCAGCAGGGTGTCTTCAGATATCATTGTGAAAATCTGATTGCCTTAGTCATTGGCCACAGCTATCACATGGATAGTACAGATCCACTTTTATTGGCTCTGTGTTTTTTTCTGTGATGTGCACTGTCCAATGACACAGCTAGGAAAAAAAGGGCATCTACCAACTCTGCAAGAGCATTGCCATCCTCTGCATGAACTACAGGCAGCTGTGCTTTCATCCAATCCGCTGTAGTAAATGCTAACTGTTTGACAGCTTCTCTGTCCATTTAACAGCTGAGGCTGGGACTTTGTTTTAACTGTAGCTGTCACTTTTGCTAGACAGCTTGGCCTGTGACAGAAGGAGGGAAAATAAAGGGTCTACTGATAGGGTCATCAGGTCATAAAACTACAATACTATGCAAGCAATACTATGCCATGTTACAATACTCAACAAAAACTGTGTTATTGCTAATGACAGACTATAACATATATATATCTTTTTATTTTGCACATAATTGATATTTGTCACTTTGAATGTGGCTTAAAAGTGGAATTATGTGTACATTTTTTTTTATCACATGCACAGCCTTAATTTCATACATATGATCAGCATTGTATATATTATACTTGCCAGCCTGCTGTACCTGACTGTCTCTATGGACTCCTCCTCCTTCTCCATCCTCACCGCTGGCATTGTGGTGCCCTTTTGTGCTGGAGCTGCTTGGGTGTTCTACAGATACCGAAGTCAGCCACGGTGCAAATGGATCATAGATGAGAAAACACAGCAAGCCCTACGTAGATATGTGCTTACGGAATCTACCCATGGAAAGCCAAACAGTGTACTGCAGACCTTCAGGGAATATGCCGAAAAAAAACAGCGTGATAAAAAAAGTGCTTTTCACTTCAGACCAAGGTATGTGTGACATCTTGCACATTGGCAGACGTTTGTTGGAAACCCACCTCATCTACCATCTTCTACTAAATCCAGTCATATACTTTACAATCTAGTTGTACAATATTATTTAAATGTCCTACAGTTATGAGTGTGAGGGCTTATTTAATTGGATAAAAAGTTATTGGATTGTTTGGTTATGCCTTTTGCAGTACACAGTTGTAATTTCAAAGTGTAGCCTGGGGGAGCTAGCTAGGTTTTTTCTTAGTTAGAGGCTGGATAGCAGCCAGGGATGAGTCAGCCAGGTTAACTTTAGGTCAGTTCTGAGGGTTCTGCAGGTCAGTTCCCTGATACCTCCCCCTGCTCTAGAAGCTTGAGAAGTTTCTAGAAGCGGTAAGGGTGAGGAGGGGTTGATCTGCATACTCAAGGGACTCTAACCAATCCCCAAGCAGGAGGCTTGGCATGGGGTCAGGACAGCATAAGTATGAGAGAGCCTGATCAGGAAGTGGTCAGAGTTGGGTGGAAGATGGAGTGAAGGCTAGAGTGGAAAGGGTGTCCATGGAGGAGCCTACCTGCAGGTAGGAGCTGGAAAGGAGGATCTTGCAGCCTCACCATCCCCCTGAGAGAAGACCACCTGTGGAGCAGCATAAGGCCTGAAGGCAGTCACCAACCCATCAAGCTCACTGGAGAAGAGTGAGTAATCCTATACACCCTGGGCCAAATAAGGGGAGAGGGCAGTCAACTGGGAAACCCAACTAACTCCTCATTTGGGACTGCTTTACTAAAGTGGCAGCTTCTGGGTCCCCTTGCCCAGGGAATCCCTCAGGCAGCTGGAGGTGGTACATCAGGAGGGCTGAAGGGCTCTTCAAGATACGACTTTGTTGTCTATGGACTTGTACATAGTTGCTAAGGCGTTTGTCTTCATGTTTACAGTTTCTTTGGGCATCCCATACACCCCACAATCCTATCCAAGTTCAATATCCCTTGATAAAGCATAAAACCAATCTCAAGGACTGTTTACCATCTCCAGTGTGCAAGTATGGAAGAAAATGCATGTTGCCTGGCTGTGCAGGACTATAGGGGACCGAACAACTCAGCGACTCCTAAGGGGTAGTGCTACAGGAGGATGTAGCATGTGTGACCATTAAGTTCTTATTGTCCCACAGCCACAATTTAGATAAAATCTGTCCTAGAAAAAGCTGCAGTGTGTTATTTATGGTTTCCTTTGGGAGCAAAGTGATATACCCAGTACTTTCTAGGTGTAGGAATCACTTCCTTTCTTCCCAAGTGACAGTGCTGGCACATAGCTCAGTGCTGTCACATTGGGAGCAGGAGGATAGTCCTTAATCATGTGTAAGTTGTGACCTGTGGCTTACATTGGGCTCTCTCTCTCTCTCTCCTAACTCCCAGTTGCTGAACAGAGCAAAGGGAAGGCAAGTGCTGTGGAAGGTGAATGTACCTGTTTCTTTGACATACATGGGCAAAGTACAGCTTCAGTTTAACAATATTTCACCCCTAAAAAGCTACAAACTCTCAGAGTGGAAAGTTTACCCTCTTACTTCAAAATCTACTTATGCCCAGTAAGACTACTTTACCTATACATTGTTGGAGCAGGTGTTATGTCCGCTGAATTGGCCATAACGTATTGCTGTCACAACTTCCTGAAATTTCTGGTTAACTGATTTTAAATCTGATTATAAAATATATTTATAAAATGGCAGCCCAGATGACAGGTGCACTTTGATTAATTTCTCTCAATGTTTTTTCCAGACATTTTTCCTAACAGATGAATTGAAGCAGTCTTCCCCTCTAACTGTTCTTGTGCTCGGCACACAGTGTGGTTATTCAGCCATAAGGGTGCTTTCCTTACTGCCTCCAGATGGGAAGTTGTATGCTGTGGAGGAAGATGACAGCATGGCAGAATCAGCAGAGGAAATGATCTTAGTTTCTGGATTCAAAAATAACCAGGTAAATATTGTTTAAAATCATACTATATAGTAACATAGTTACAGGCATCTACCTTGGTAGCTCTGTACATGCCATGCACTATCCTGGCATTGCCAACCAATTTTTAATGTTGAGTTTTATCAGTATATGGATATAGAAAACTGTACATTCTCAATGTATAAAGCAATGCACCATGCATGTAAAATCCTTGCCTGATAGTTCAGCACTATTTCCATATCAGTTGTTAGGTTCTGTAGAACTGGCTAGCTGAAGGCCCAGAATTTTCTCTATAGAGTTTTAGGAGTAGCCATGATTGAGTAGGAAGCCTACAGCCAGGGGAGTCAGATAATCAAATTTCAATTTGCCAGTAGGTTTTCAGGAGGAAACTCATGCAAACAGAAAGCATACAAACTCCATGCATACCCCAAGCTGGAAATAAACACAAAGCTCCAATATTGAAAGAATTCTATCAATAGCCAAAAAAAAAAAACCCATATATGATTCAGAGTCTGTCAATAGCATTAGTCCCCTCCTGTAACATTGTTTTATTACTTGTTGATCCTGCAAGTAGATTTTTCAACTCTTTCAAAAGAGTGACAACTCTTTTTTTCTGCAGTGAAATCACACATCAATGCTGTCACCATGTGGAGCAGAGTAGGCTAGTTTTAAATGGACTTTAAAGAGGAACTCCAGGAAATAATAAGCATTTAAAGTCTGCTGGCATACAAGGAGTTAAGTGCAAGGAGGTGTATGCCACCTCCTGGATTTGTGGGTTACTGAGTGCTGCTAGTATAGCTTTTGCTATATTCCTGCACTCTCAGAATAGAGTTATGGCTCTCTACACTGCAGCCGCTCTGCCAATTTGTGTTGGTGCCAAAATTATGCAGACACCATCAAATAGGGATCAATCAGCCACAGCTGAAGAAACCCCTACTAACCTGGAGGAGGTGAACCTAGCCTAAGGTAAAAAATCTTGCACAGCCTGTAAACCTCCCTCCCCTTCCCTAACACTTACCTGAGTCCTTTATCAATCAAGCGCCATACTGGCGGAGCAGGTCTCCTCTTCCCTTTTTCTGCTCTCATAGGCTTTGTTGATAGCAGCGGGAGCCATTTGTTCCTTCTATTATTAATATTTTCTTATATAAAGGTTGTATTAATTCTTTACTGGTGTGCATCTATATACTTATGATTAATGTTATATGCTGGTTGCAGTAGTTCCTCTGCTCCCAATTACTTTGTTTAGATTAATGATTAATTCCCAGGAAGAGAATACCTTATCCTGATTGGAGGCACTGACCGCCTTATTTGCAGATGGGGATGACTTACTCAAGCATGCTTCTATGAAAAATAATAGACCACTGGCAAAGCGGCTTGGTTCCTTTTTATATGTGCTGAGATGTTTACCTTTAGTAAATCATGGTTAATTACAATTATACCACTACAAATATTTTGCATTTTTCCTACCCCCCCCCCCCCCCTCCATTTTAGTCCTCCAAAGAAAAGGTTATCCTTGTTTGTTTTGTCCTTAACTGCATTTTTTTTTCTGTCTTCCAGTTTAAACTGTTGTGTCAACATCCAGTCGATGCAATCCACACCTTACACAGCACGTTTGACTTGAAGAAGGTAGACTTAGTGTTAATGGATTTTCAGAGTGATGGCTACCTTCAAGGATTGAAGGCTTTGACAGAACTTGGACTTTTTTACCCTGGATCACTAATACTTCTAAATAACATGGGTCCCCTGGTCAGAAAAGACTTTGTAGAACATCTTGAGAAAAGTGTACATTATACAGTGGTAAATGGCTGCCAGACTTTACTAAAAGTTGTGTATGGGCAGTCAAGCCATAAAGAATTAAAAGTAAGATGAATAAAAAAATATAATTGTTATGAAATGCACACAAATTTTATTTTCTGTCTTCACCTTTTATTATGAAGTGAAATCAACTCTCATCTGCATCCTAGCAACTTGGTGAATAAGAGCTCTAAAAAAGAAGTTGGCTTTGTGATAGTCTTGTGATATCCTCCAGTGTGATCCCCACAACTGCAATCAATGTGTCTGTCCACCTAGTAGTCGGTCTCACTCTTCTCCTGGTTCCTTCAAACTTCCCAAGCATTATTTCCTTTTCCAGCGATCTCTCTCATCTGACAGTGTGCCCAAAATATGACAATTGCAACTTCATCATTTGTGCTTCTATTGACATAGCTGGTTCAATCTCTTCCAAAATCAATATGTTCTTCAGGCTGTCCACAGCACACATAAAATCCTTCTCCAGCAGCAAAGCTCAAATGAATTGATCTTCTTTGTATCTTGTTTCCGTAGTGTCCGGTTTTCAGAACCGTAATTGATAGCTGAGAAAATGAGAGCATAGACAAGTCTTATCCTTGTTTTCAGTGTAATTTCTTTGTCTTCATTGTGTAGCTACCAAGTGCAATTCGGCAGAATATTTCCTCACAGCTAGTTGCATCCATGTTTATGAGAGAACCCAGGAGTTTCAAATGCTTTACAACTTCTATTCTGTGACTGTCAAGCTGAAAATGTACATCATTTTCTGTGCTCATGATTTTCGCCTTGTTTATATTATATTCTTTTTCAGGGTCAAGTCCAGCACACAGGACAAAGGGTTTGGGGCAGAACAGGGTTAAGTCCAGCACACAGGGAAAAGGGTTCGGGGCAGAACAGGGTTAAGTCCAGCACACAGGGCAAAGGGTTCGGGGCAAAACAGGGTTAAGTCCAGCACACAGGGCAAAGGGTTCGGGGCAGAACAGGGTTAAGTCCAGCACACAGGGCAAAGGGTTCGGGGCAAAACAGGGTTAAGTCCAGCACACAGGGCAAAGGGTCCGGGCAGAGCAGGGTGAAGTCCAGCACGCAGGGCAAAGGCTCCAGGCAGAGCAGGGTTACTCCAGCACACAGGGCAAGTCCACCTTAGGGCAAAGATCTGAGGAGGGGAGGGTTAAATCCAGCACACAGGGCACAGCCGAGGTATGGTCTCCAGGATGGGGTTTGTGGGGTCTGGCCGCAGCTCAGAAACACCCCAGTACAGGGAGGAGGAGAGGAGGCACAGAGTCTACACACACAGCAGGATTGGCAGAGTTCTGGCAGGAAACGGGTTCATTTGCACAAGAAGCTGGGCACACAGCAGGGATCCAGCACAACATAGGCGAAGTCCTTAGCACAGAATAGCACTCAAGTACAACAGAGGTTAGTCCAGAGTCAAAAGCAACAATCTGGGCCCAGTGAGTAGCAGGCCACAAACTGGTACAGCAAAGTCCAGGGGTGCAGGGCAGCAATGCAGGGACTCACCAGCCAACAGTAGCTTCAGCAGAGTAAGTATAGGCAGAGTGGCATGGAGAAGGAGGGCCAGAAGGCAGAGGTCTTTCACTAACTCATCAGAGGGCAGCTTCAAGACCACACAGGCAACAGTTGACAGAAGAGCATAGGGTAGAGTAAAGTCCCAGGTGTCCAGAATCCGCACAGACATTGCAGAACTACAAGTCACAGCAGTGCAGAAATCAAAACACAGCCCATACAGAACTATCTGTCTCAGCAGTTCAATGCATCTTCTACTGAGTCCTGCAGCCATGAGATCCTCTGTCCATCACTAACGTAAGTTCTGCCAGCATAGGGACATTATATTGTCCCTTCAATGCAACCAAACCTTAAGCACCTGGTGCTGGCACGGCTGGCTTTTTCCAGCTGTAGGACACCATGCTGCATGTGCCTCCCTCTGAGATCAACCTCATCTCCCACCCACTGGACACAGGAACACAGATTTAATTAAGCAGACTGTTTGACGAGTGTTGATTTGGTCACTTCTTTCCCCTGAACATAATTTTTGTGGGGCAAGGAGGACTGCACAGTCTTCACAATACATAGTGATCCCATAAACCAGCGAGGAATTTTTTGGTGGATTTGGTGAAGAGTGGGGTCTGTCCATTAGTGGTGTAAGTTTATTGCCACATGGATGGGTGTACTTGTAATACATATCTGTAGCAAGAGAAATAATCATGTTGAGGTCACTGAGGTAGACACAAACATTATAGAGGCAGGTGTTTTGATTTATGACATCAACAGTTTGATCCTTGTTTCCCTTTGAGGTAAGATGAGCAAGGGACTTGGGATTTATATGCTATCTCTGTGCTGCTTATGTGGTATGGGTTTGTGGTAATGTAAACTCTTAGTGTTGATATAGGGATCACATGTGCTCTGTTATATAAAGATGCTCCTCCTTGCTCTATGGGTTCTTAATAGTGGCCGGTCCAAATTTACCAATTTTATAAAGTCCTCAAAAAAGGCGGATACATAGAATAGTGGGCTTTTTTGGTGCGTATGGATACGCACCCATGTGTTGTTTATCATTTGATTGCCCAGAGAGTTTACATAGATAATAAGGCATTTGTTGGTTGCATCTCTTTTAACCAGTCAACATGAACCTTTGAACTTTACAGAACTAGAAAAAGTATGCATGTCCAAAGGTAATTATACAGTATAGCAATAAAAGTGTGCTTATGTTAAAAATAATCACAGTGTATATATGAAGTATGGCAAATACAATTTGTGTTTGATATCAGGTGTGTGTGCTTCAGTGTTTTCATTGCAACCTGAAGCAACAGTTGCAAAATAATTGATTCAGGAGAGAGTGAACCTAGACTAGTGTTTTCCTGTGGTGTCAGCAAGGCACCTGTTTGAAATCTAGGTGCAAGTTTGCCCCGGTACACTTTTTTGATCCATTTCACTGTCAATATCCAGGGGCTGGTCTACTAACCTTGCACAAGATGATGTCATTATTCTGAATACAAGATTGCCCAGCTACACTCCTGAGATATTTCCCTGTCAATATTCTAAAGCTTGACTCAAGGGCACCTTTCAAAATCCTGGGGCTGAACTACACATTTAGCACCTGTTCATATCCCGATCACAAGTGAAGCACTACCCCCAGAGGAGCCACTGAATTGTTTTGTGATTTCTCTGCACACCTGAAGATGACACACGTCACTCACTCAGCCTTACCGACACATCTTGAATTTATTAGGCCTGAATGAGTAGTAGCCTAAATGAAGAGAGGACCCGCAATTGTACTTATACAAACAAACAATAAGAAAGCAATGTTACTCTGAGAGATATGGTTAAACACCTACAGTATTCTGACTATCAGTAATTAACACAAACTGAAATGATTTTACCTAGCAATGGTATATAAAGATAGTCTTAACTTGCTATAACAATCCCAGTTTTATCCCACAGGCCAGTTAATGGTGAAAAAAAAAACCATTGCAGACAAAGTTGGGTCCCTTGAAGAAAGCACAACAGTCTCTAGCAGACAACAGATTTACTTGTGCAATGTTAGACTATTACCAGACCCAGGGCACCCTTTTCTGGGTCTCTGGACATGTGCCTTATTTCAGTTATACTGTAGTCCAATCACAAGAATAGGAGTTGCTGTGATGTCTCTCTTTCAGTCCTGCTAAGACAGTCCCTCTTTTCTTTCCTTACAAGCTGTAGCAATGCTCTCTAGTACACTCTGATTTCACGAGGCATCCAAGCCACTCCTTACACCCTACCAGGGAGAAAGTTCCTGGTCTCTGAAGAAAGGTCCTGTATGATAAGCAGTCTCTCAGCTACAGTGAGGAACAAAAGTATTTGAACACCCTGCGATTTTGCAAGTTCTCCCACTTAGAAATCATGGAGGGGTCTGAAATTCACATTGTAGGTGCATTCCCACTCTGAGAGACAGAATTAAAAAAAAATTCAGGAAATCACATTGTATGATTTTTAAAGAATTTATTTGTCTTGCACTGCTGAACATAAGTATTTGAACACCTAAGAAACAGCAAGAATTCCGGCTCTCAAAGACTTGTTACTGTGCCTTTAAAAAGTCCACCTCTACTCCACTCATTAATCTAACTTAGTAGCACCTGCCTGAGCTCTTTAAAGACACCTGTCCACCCCTCAGTCAGTCAGACGCCAACTACTACCATGGGCAAGACTAAAGAGCTGTCAAAAGACACCAGAGACAAAATTATGGATCTACACAAGGATGGAAAGGGCTACGGGGCAATTGCCAAGCAGCTTGGTGAAAATAGGTCAACTGTTGGAGTAATTGTTAGAAAATGGAAGAGGCTAAAGACGACTGTCAGTCTCCCTCGGACTGGGGCTCCATGCAAGATCTTACCTCGTGGGGTATCACTGATGATAAGAAAGGTGAGGAATCAGGCCATAACTACAATGGAGGAGCTGGTCAATGACATGAAGAGAGCTGGGACCACAGTTTCAAAGGTCACTGTCGGTAGAACACTATGCCGTCATTGTTTTAAATCATGCATTGCACGGAAGGTTCCCCTACTCAAGTCATCACATGTCCAGGCCTGTCTGAAGTTTGCCAATGACCATCTGGATGATCCAGAGGAGGCATGGGAGAAAGTCATGTGGTCAGATAAGACCAAAGTAGAACTTTTTGGTCTAAACTTCACTCATCGTGTTTGGAAAAAGAAGGATGAGTTGCATCCCAAGAACACCATCCCTACTGTGAAGCATGGGGGTGGTAACATCATGCTTTGGGGGTGCTTTTCATGCGAAGGGGACAGGACGACTGCACTGTATTAAGGAGAGGATGAATGGGGCCATTTATTGTGAGATTTTGAGCAACAACCTCCTTCCCTCAGTCAGAGCATTGAAGATGGGTCGTGGCTGGGTCTTCCAACATGACAACGACCCCAAGCACACAGCCAGGATAACCAAGGAGTGGCTCTGTAAGAAGCATATCAAGGTTCTGGAGTGGCCTAGCCAGTCTCCAGACCTAAATCCAATAG